GTGTGTGTGTGTGTGTGTGTGTGTGTCTGCTGTCGCTTAGACTTAGTTGACCAGCGGTTTGCCTTGGTCCGGCGCCGGGGGAGTGTGTATGCCAGAGTGACGAAGTGGTGTGGATGCCTCTATCGTAGCCCGGCTTGACCAATGGTAGAGGGCGGACTCGAGCCTGGCAACACTGGCACCGGATAGGTCGCATCATGTGGCTTTGTCGGTCTGTCGTTAGACGCCCTGCTCACTTTTCTCTTGTCTCTCAGGCTCACGTTGGTCTTGTAGGCATGGCTGCCTAAGGCTGTAGGTATGGACGAATGTGTGCACACCAGAGTCCGCCTGTAGGCAGAGAGTAGACACGTGTCAGACATGGCAACCTGCAAGGCTGCGGCAGCAGAACGACACACTCAACCTGCAAGGTTGAAAGTTTATGAAGTCTGCTAATGAAAGTTGTGTATACAGTCGCGGCCAACAGAGCGCAAAGAAGTCTTTGGTACAGTTTTGGTGCCAGGAGCCCAAAATGTTTAGTATTGTTTGAGAAATAGGGGTGAAAGCTGAAGTGGAGCGAAAGAGGTAGAGTAGAACCTGTACAGATGAGCAGGTTCACCGTATTCGCTCGAATTGCGCTTAATCATCGAAAGAACAAAGCCTAACATGACGTCACTTTTCCTGGAAAAAGTGTCAAAGGAGGACTGAACAAGAGGTCAGAGGAATCCCTAAGCTTTCAGCTTTTCCAGAGGGTTCTAGAAAATGAAAACTTCGTTTCACCTTCGAGTATCCTGACGTAACTGCATCTCCTTCTCATAATTAACCAAATCTTTCATGTACTACTTCCTCTTCCCCTTCTCTTACTTCTAATTCTCCTTCTTCTTCTCGTTATCGTAATCTATCTACTTCTCCAACTAATCCAACTTTATCCAAATTATCCACATACATCTACTACAACTCCTTTCCCTTCTGCTTCTTCTTCTCCTTTTACTTCCTCTTCAGCTTCCCTTCCTTTTTCTCCATCTTCTCTTCCTTCAACTTCTTCTTCATTCCCTTGTCCTTATGCTTCTGTTTATCGTGTTCTATTCGATTTTACTTCAGCGTCTAATTTATAAATTTCAATTTCTCATTACGAGTTGATTGACTTTGAGGAACGCACCTAGTCCGGAGTCGATTGTCTGCATGATCATTTCCAAAGTTGAACCA